TTCGAGGAACGTTTCGAGGACTTTCCATTCACATTTCAACAGCATCTTTTGACAGCTCTCAAGTCACAGCCGCGTGAGGGCTTGGGGTTTAAGGCCTTGGCCAGCCTCTTATACTCCATTAGCGTTTAGGGTTTAGGGTTTAGGGTTTAAGGTATAACCGCCACAAGCCCACAGAAGTCCAATGTCTATCGGGTGTTTACTCCTTGGAAATTCTGAGAGGGTCCACTTGTGGCGCTCAAAGGATGCTCCAAACCATGCTGGACCGAAGTCCAAAAACGATTTTGGGCTTAGGGCTTATTTAGGGTTTAGGGTTTAGGGTTCAGGTTTAGGGTTTAGGGTTTAGGGCAGGAAACCCCAAACCCCAAACCCTAAACCCTAAACCACCCCAAACCCGAAACCCGAAACCCCAGAAAGCCCAGGTGTGGTTTTGGGTTCTAGAAACCCGAAGCTGGGAGGATTCTGGACCACACCCTTTTTACTGGCCCTACCCTAACCCCAAACCCTAAACCCTAAACCCTCAACCCCAAACCCTAACCCCCTAACTCCCCTACCCAAACCAAGATCTCAATAACACTTACAGCTGTTGGGCTGTTGGGACCTTCGCTTTTGGTAGGGGGGGGGGGGGGGGGGGGGGGCAGCTTAAGATCCCACCGCTTTTGGACCTTACTGCAAGGCGCCTGGAATCAGTCGCTCCCCTCGCCTGGCGGCGCTGAGCCAAGCAAGGGATTCACAAGGGCACCGTAGGGTTTAGGTTTAGGGTTTAGGGCTTAGGGTTTAGGGTTCCCCCCCCCCCCCCAAACCCTTCAAGGAAGGTCTAGACCCCTGAGTTCAGGAAAGGACGTTAAATCCTGAACCCCTCAACTAAGGCATACACTCAACACACCCTAAAACGATGAAACCCTAAACCCTGAAGCCTGAACCCTGAACCCTAAACCAACCCGACAGAAAGCTGCAAGCTGCCTCACGCCAGGATGGAGGAACATCAGTAAATTAGCCCTCAAGTTCTTCGACTTGCTTGGGTTTAGGCTTTTAGGCTTTAGGCTTTAGGCTTTAGGGTTTAGGGTTTAGGGTTTAGGGTTTAGGGTTTAGGGTTTAGGGTTTAGGGTTTAGGGCTTCGGGTTTCGGGTTCAGCCCTGGATCCTGAACCCTTCTTTAGGTGTCTCTGGTTCGGGTTTAGGGTTTAGGGTTTAGGGTTTAGGGTTTAGGGTTTAGGGTTTAGGGTTTAGGGTTTAGGGTTTAGGGTTTAGGGTTTTTTTTTCACTCCTGCACAGCTGGGGCGAATCCACATCGCAGGGCGACGACGAGGTACATTTGGGCGTATCCGAACAGGGCCTCAAGACATTGCCAACCACCGGCCCTCGAAACCCAAGGCACAATAACAACGGTCTCTACTACCCTCAACACTAGTCACTTACGACCCTCAACTCAGGCAATGACTTGCGACCTACCGAGTCTCGACCACGCAATTTGCGTGGCTAACTGCCTGGCTATCAGGGATTCTCCCTGACCACACAAATGCCTGCAACCAGTCACGCACACCCAAGAAATCCCAACTCAAAGCTGCCCCAGATACGTACAACAGAGATATGATCACAAATCCCTTCAGCTGCAGAGACATGTTCTACCTGCTTTCATCATCGATGTCGACTCAAGGACTTGCATCCAGCTACAGCTACGGACCCACACCAAATAACACCGTATCCTCACTGGATGCATGAACCGAGCCCACTGCGATTAAGCGATCCTTGTTACAGCGCCCTCCTACCACCCACACGAGTAGAGCGAAACAAGGGCACATCGTAGCAAGGCTCGCCAAGGTACCGACCAGGCAACTGCCCGGTGCCTGTTGCATCAGCTACGCGGCGTGCATCCTCATGTCCCAGTCCCTGTCCCTCTACAACATAAACCAAATCACCCCTAGATCAAAAGGACGGAGAAGGCAAAGGGGCTCATGCATGGATCCACGCTCGCCGGTGTCTACTAATTGGGGTTTTGTACTAATTGGGGCTTTGTTAATTCAGAAAGCGTGCAGCTGCACCAGAACTCCGAGCTCAAACTCGAGTCTGAAACGCTCCGAATTCCCAATTCCGGAGGGACAAACTCATGGCATGTCAGTGTGCTGACACAAATTAAGGCGTGTGGGTACAAATTGACACATGCAGCAGAATTACGAATTACGAATTACGAATAGCCCGTTTGTTGCCACTGGCAGACACAAATTATAGGACGTGCGGGCACAGATTGACACATGCAGCAGAATTACGAACAGCCCGGTTGTTGCCACTGGCAGACGTGCGAGAGTGTGCGAAGAGTCAGCTCCCCAGTCTGGAAACTGCACGGACTCGCCACGACAGGCGTGCGTGAGTGCGCGCAAACTCAGTTCCAGTCCAGAAACTGCACAGAGAAACTGCACAGATTCGCCATTGCCCCACACCAGAGACTCGACCATTCTTGAGTCAGTCACTGCTGGCCCAGCTCCATACTTGCCCCGTGTTTGCCAGAGATTCGGCATCTGCCCAGACTGCATCTCAGGTACGGTGCGGGCGGAAGCGGATCTGCAGTAGACACACCCTATTGCCATCTGCGTCCGAAAATTGTCCTCCAGACGTACCAGGCCAAATAATCCAGCGAGGGCAGTCCCTGCCACCATCTCAGCCGTCAGCATCCCTGCTGTTGGCCCCAACAGAAGCCACTCAGCGGCACGCAGCAGGGTGTGGCGCAGTGGCGGTGTGCAGAGCGTCAGCATAGTGTACGTGCTTCCTTGCGAGACATGCTGGTCGCTGCGGCAGCAACTGGGTTGCCAACCCTGTTCACTTATCGTCGTGCCAAATTCAGCGCCCATCGGGCGGCTTGTAACTCGTCAGGCGCCCCCAGTCGTCACTGCCAAGGCCAGGCCAACCAGTCGTCACCGCCAGGGGTTGGGCTAACTGGCCATTCAGGACACCATGGCGGCGGGGAGGTGCTGATACACCCTATTTGCTAGCGCCCGAAAGAGTGAAGGATAATAAGACCCCAAAGATGATGCCGTATCCTGCCCTCATCACACCGCTCAAGGTTAACCAAGTAGACTAACGGCCGGTCGCTCTGCAGGGACGGAACAACAAAGAGCAGAAGAGCAGGAGGAAGCCGACACGAGGCGGAGGGGGGGCGGGGAAGGAAGGGGATGCTCGCACGCGCGCCCAACTTTCAATCCACCCGTAAACCTGGTGTTCTCAGGGGAGGCTGTTTAAGCTGGCGCCCAAAACACATTCCTCGGGGGAAAAAGGTGTACTACTCCGCTCTCGTGCATCTCTCCTCTCCTCTGCTTTCTTCTGGCGTCCGGCAGATGTGAAGAGGACGGCATATGAATCTTGCAATCGTTTCAATCATGGTTCAAACAGTGAATTAGCAAATGCAGGTATGCACACGCATCTTTTTTTTGGAGGGGGGGGGGGAGCAGGGAGAGAAAGCGAGAAATCCCGGTTCGAGAGCTAAGGCGGTCCCCGGGGCTGGAGAGGCATGTTTCTTGCAAACATAGCCTCTGCACTCGCAGAGTCTCAACATGAGGGGTCTGCAGCTCATTACAGATCATTCTCACCATCACTATCACATGTGGTTTCTTCGGCATGCTGACCATTCTCTTCCAGGGAGTCACTGCAAAGCACCGCCAAGCACCTGCGTTTGTAAGGGACATCTACAACCGGCCCTTCACGTTCTTCGTCGGAAGAGAGCACCAGTTCTACCTCCGATGTTGCGGGCGTGCCGGGGGGCTGACGTCTCCTCCACAGTTGGCTAGGGCTTGGGCGAAAGGCTTCCCTAAGAGTCAGCTGACGCTGGGTCGTCATCTGCTCACTTTCATGGAGGTGGTCCTGCGCTGCTGAGAGGATAGTCTGCGGGTGCGGAACACAGAAGCCCAGCTCCCTCAGCTCGAGGTGCAGAGACTCATGTATGTGCAGGGCTCCTTGTGGGACATACGCCAGGAGAACAACTCTACGGTTGCCTTCCCACGCTTGTGTTGCATGTAGCTGCGCCCTAAAGGAGAAAACAAGGGGCCTCGCTCGGATGTCCCAGTGGTGTCCTTTGACGAGTCGACCCTCAAAGCCTCTGTATACGACGGGCTCCTGACACGGTGCTCGGCACTTACACTGAACCCAAAGTCCTCCACCTACAAGATCATCCGTTAGGCCCAGCGCTGCACTGGGCAGAAAAGAGTTGAGGTGGTCTTTATGGACCTCAGCATCCGCTCCTTCCCTGATTATAATACTTGTAAAGTACAGATTGGGGAGGTGTGTGCGCGCAAAGCAGGTCAGAACCTCGGTGACATTCGGCAGTGTGCGTGTCATCTTGAAGGGGTGCTTGCGGGACCTGTTACTCATGCCGAAGGCCGCCATGAGTGCACCTCTTCGATCCTTCATACATTTGGCTTTGGGGATGAGGTCCCACAGACCGACCAGCTGATCCTTAGTGATTCCATTCCCTTGCAGAATTCGCTTCGCCTCAGCTTCCGCTACCGAGAGAGTCGGCTCTTCAATGCTCACTTCATGTTCTGGGTCGGCGGACGTCTCTCTTTCTACCAGGACATCTCCCATCCCTCTCTCTGTGCCCTCTGCAAGACTGGTGCGGGGCAACTTCAAGCGGAGCGAGGGAGCAACCAACAGAGGAGGGGAGGGAAAGAGAGAGAAGCGACCTTCCGTAAACAAGTTTGCGCTGTCCCCTGAGTTGAGCCGTTCACACTATTGTTGTTTGAAAGTGTCTGGCTGCTCATGCTACGGCTTGCAAGAGCTGTCACGTGCAAGAGCTGTCATATGCGAGCCCCCCCCCCCCCCCACTCAAAGTCACCTTATCAGTCAGCAGCAGTCAGTCAGTAGCAGCAGCAAAAGGAGCGGGGGGGGGGGCGACCGGCAAGAAATGCACGAGCAGGCAATCTTGTGGTTAATATAGCTGCTAGCCCTAGCTCCAAGTTCGTCATCGTCGTGAGCACCAATTTCGTCAACAGAGGGGCGGGAAGGGCAATGTCTGGCTCACTCGTTCAAGGGAGGAAAGATCAACGCCTGGCTTACCGGTTCAGGGGAGGAAAGGAGTACAAGAGGGTCCCGAGTACAAGAGGGTCCCGAGAGAAGCACATCGTACCGCAAGAAATCCCAACTGAAGCTTACATTGTACTTCAAGAAATCCCAACCGAAGCTTACTTCAAACCTGCAAGGATCTACCAGCACTGATCCCCAAGGCGGGCCAAGGAGGTTTGCAGCAGTACCGCAGGATGCTGAGATGCTTGAATTGCGCATGCTCTTGGCGTCTGTCCCAGCTATCTCTTTGACCTTTGGGAAGTCTTTTTGAGCAGCTTGGATAAGAGGGAGAACCCGTTTCAGATCCTCTTGAACCCCCTTGGTGCTGTTGAGGCGCACAAAGCGCTGTACGACGCTGCTTGTGCTGGCAAGTAATACCATTGTCATGGATGCCGCCAAGGGTACTGAATGCCCTTCCAGTAATGCTGCCCACTGGTAGGCGTCGAGGTCCCGTGATGAACTCGAAGCATACGCTGTGAATGACAGGATCTCCTGGATGGAAAAGACTCCTCCTGTTTCCAAAGCCCCCACGTTGAGCGAGAATCTGCTCAGGTCCGCATTCAGACTGTCTCGTTCCATTTGAGGCACATCTGACCTCAACTCCGTTGATGCTTTTGCAGAGGAGGCTTGTTGAACTGGAGCAATGGGAGTTGGTGTGGCAGTTGAAGGCTGCACTTGCCCTTGCATTGTACTCTGCATCTGCATTTGAGCTACCTGAGCCCTTAGCTGAAGCAGCTCCTGTTGTGATGATGTCAATCCTTGCTGTGGGTTCTGAGGGATTTGAGCACCAAAAGAAGCACGCTGCGTGGTCATGAGCTGAGGTTGCATGTACGGAGAAAAGGCCTGCGGAGTTTGTGCATTCTGAGGCAGGCCCCCTGCAGACATCGGAGGGAAGAATGACTGGCCAAGACCTGCCATACTTTGAACAAACCTCTGAAAAACAGATCAACAAACAAATCAAGCACCTGTCTCTCACTAGAGAAAAATGAGAAACAAACAAACAAATTAGCAAAATTACCCCTGACAGTGTGCAGGCTTTAGCCATTAGGGTTTAGGGTTTAGGGTTTAGGGTTTAGGGTTTAGGGTTCAGGGCTTAGGGTTTAGGGTTTAGGGTTTAGAACTAGGAATTCCAGGCCTTCAGACCGGTTGATCCACAACTCGGGTTGAGGGCTTCTGGGGGCCTCAAGGTTTAGGGTTTAGGGTTTAGGGTTTAGGGTTTTCGTTTTAAGGCGGAGCTTTGGGCTTTGGAGGGCTTATGAGTTTTTGCAGGGCTTAGGGTTTAGGGTTTAGGGTTTAGGATTTCGGGTTTAGGGACCCCTCAACCCTAAACCCCTCTTTCACCTATATAGTTGCACCCTCTACAAGTAACAGGCATTACCCAAAAATAGCGGGCTTTACCCCAAAGCTAGCAGGCAATGCCCAAAAACATCGGGTATTACCCAAAAATTCTCGGGCATTACCCAAGAATTACCGGTTACCCAGAAATTGCGGGCATTACCCAAAAGTCAGCGGTGCATTCCCCAAAACTTAGCGGGCGTTACCCAAGGGCCTTGGGGCTTTAGGGTTTAAAGCCAATTGGGCTTGCGGGCGTGACCCAAAACTTGGCGGGCAATACCCAATAATTGGCGGGCATTACACAAAAATGGCAGTACCGAAAACTCCTACAATTAGCGGGCATTGCTTTACCAAAAACCTAGCGGGCAGTCCACAAATTAAGCAGGCATTGCCCCAAACTTAGCGGGCATTCCCCAGATTCTTTTTGTTCTACAGAAAAATCATCTGAGGATGCTTTGGAAGGCTGGCTGGAAGAACGATATGTAAAACAAATTAATGTTGTACAAACTTTAGTGTTGGCGCCCACCCCCCCCCCCCCCCCCAAAAAAAAAAAAAAAAAAAAAAGTCGAGGCTGGATTTGCTCCTCTTTAAACGGGCCCGAGGTTGATATGATTTTAATAGGGAGGAGGTTAAATGAGTATAAGAGGGACAGCGAGGCCCGGCAATTGATGTTAAAGGCGCGCCGGCGCGGAATTTTCTTACGACGCCTGATCGATTTGACCTTCAAGCGGGACCTGGTCTGCCCCCCCAAACAGTCAGGTTGTCCTGAATGGCCCAGCCAAAACGACTTTATGGAGGGGGCCCCTACTGAAACAGGTGGAATATTAATTGATTATTGTCCTAGTGTTATAGGGCCCAAACTGCCAAAGGGCAGGGGGGAAATATCTGTCGCTCGACAAGCTGCTTGACTCGTGAATGCTTTGACCCTAAGTCCTAAACCCTAACCTAAACCTTATCAACCCTAAACCCTAAACCCGAACCTCAAGCAAGCTTCGGCTTCTCCTCAGCAAGCTGCCCTAACAAACCAAAGAACCTTGGCAAATGAACTTTCCCGTTTCCCGGGGGGGGGGGGGGGGGTACTTTAGGTGACCCCAAACCTTTTTGCGACAGGAGACCCCAAACCCTAAAACCTAAACCACCCTTGCATCCGGGGCCCCTTGGGGTGCCTGGGTCCCTGTGATTCCCTCACGCCTAAACCCTAAACCCTAAACCCTAAACCCTAAACCCTAAAGCAAAAACCCTAAACCCTAAACCCTAAACCCTAAAAAACGCTAACTCCAAAACAGGGGAGGGCCACACGAGGATGCTGGTCGGCTCTTGTGTCGGGGGAGGTGGTGGCCTGCAAGCAATTTGTGACCAAAGCCGAAACCCCCAACCTGGTTTAGGGTTCAGGGGTTAGGGGTTTAGGGTTTAGGGTTTAGGGTTTAGGGTTTAGGGTTTAGGGTTTAGGGTTTAGGGTTCAGGGGTTTGGGGTTCAGGGGTTTGGGGTTTAGGGTTTGGGGTTTAGAGTTTTGGGACTTTATCCCAAGGCTCGGGCAGGGCGTGGGGATAGGGGGTGGGGGATAGGTGCATGTTTGGTAGAGAGTTCTGAATCCGTTTGTCTAGGTTTCCAGTGAGGGCTTATTTTAAGTACAGTGGAGGCTTTTGTTTACCACCCGTCTAGCCACACACTACGGGGTTTCAGTTTAGGGTTCAGGGCTTAGGGTTTCGGATATAGGCTGTTGGGTGTCTTTGGCTATAGGGCCTTCTACGCCCACCCGCATAAGAGGAACATCTAAGCCCCAAACCCCTCTGAACCCCCACCCCCCCAGCCCCCCAAGCCCCGCAGAGCATCTTTTTCAACCCTAAACCCTCAAATCCCGAACCCAACTGCCCAAGTCACCGAGTTTCGGGTTTTTGTTTGCCACCTGCCTAGTTTAGGGTTTAGGAATGAGGATTTAGGGGTAACTGGAAAAGTAGAACCTACTTCATATCTCTACATAGAAAATCCTACCATGTACTGAGGCCAAAAGTAGCAAAGCCACGCCGGAGAGACAGCTGAAGAGGCTTTTTTTGGGCTTCGGATATCGAGTTCTTAAGGCTACACTCCCCTTAGAACCTCTATAAAACTATCATTTTTTAATATCCTCTTGTGTTTAATATAAACAAGAACAAAAAATAATTCTCAAGGGGGATATAGGAGGGAGGGGAGGTTTCAAGGGGGGGGGTTTCAACCCCAAGGTGCCCTCATACTCCCCACTGCTCCCTGAGGCGAAGCTTCCCTAAGATAGGTTCGGTTCTCCCAAAAAGGTCCATGTATACCCTAAACCCTAAACCCTAAACCCTAAACCCTAAACCCTAAACCTACATGTGAAAGGCTGCAGAGCTACTGCAGAGCTGCTCAGTGCTGGGGGTTTGTTGTGCAAGCAAGCGTGGCTGTCATCTGCATGAGTGCGCGAAGTTTATGCGATGTTTAGCTGGTCTGTCGACTTTTCAGAAGAATCCAATATCCTAAGCTCCCTGCTGCAAAGAGGTTCCTACATAGTGAGCCCAGGGCCCAAGAATGTTTTTTTTCGTTGTTTGCTGGAGGTACGTGGACCTTTGGGGGTTGTCCTTGGTGGCCCAGCAAGATAACTGACAATAATCAGAACCTCAAAGCAACTCTTTTTGCTAAACCCCCTAGACCCCTAAACCCCCGAAACCCCGCTAAACCCCCTAAATCCCCCCAAACCCCCCCTAAACACCCTGAACCCCCTCAACCCCCAACCCCCGTCGAGACACGGCCCTGGCGGCCCTGGCGGCCCAGGCGGCCCTGGCGGCTGCGAAGCTCGTGCCAAAGATGCCGCCTTTGCAACGGCCAGCGGACGGTGTGGGTTTTGGGGGTTATTATAGGGCTTAGTAACCCTAAACCCCAAACCCCAAACCCCAAACCCTAAACCCCAAACCCCAAACCTTGCAAGTGTTAGGGTTTAGTAGATCTCGAGATGAGGGTGGTTCGGGTTCCCGGGAGCCTTTGAAGGAAAGGCAGGCTCGCTAACAGTTTGAAGACGCGAGGAGCGGTGTGCTTGCAGCAAGGCATAAGTCTATGTGAGGGAAGGGTTTAGGGTTTAGGGGGTTTAGGGGGTTTAGGGGGTTTAGGGGGTTTAGGGGGTTTAGGGGGTTTAGGGGGTTTGGCGTTTAGGGGGTTTGAGGGGTTTAGGGGGTTTGGGGGGTTTAGGTGGTTTAGGGAAGTCGGCAGTTCTCTCGGACCTCTGAGTTAGGGAATCTACCATGCAGGGATCCCCTGTTAAGAATTGAAGGTCTATTCCGTCATTGAGGACTATCCCTCAACCCTAAACCATAAACCCTCCGTCAAGGCCTTGGGGTTCTATTGGTTTGCGGCACAGGGTCTTCAGGTTTAGGGTCTGGGGCCAAGGGTGTAGGCTACGGGCGGGTCAGGGTCCCATGGTCTTGGGGCTCAGGCTTTAGCAGTTTAGGGTTTAGGGTTTAGAGTGTCTGTTACGTTCTGGGTTGCTCGCTGGGCTCCGGGGCCTCACCTCATTCTATCTAACCGGCCCCTCTGTCCGGGTCGCTCGCAACCTTAGAAGATGAAATCGCGGAATCAAATCGCTGCGATTTAAACACGCAGGCCCAAATCGCTTCTTATTTGGTCGTATTCAACCGTTGGAAACGCAAATCGCGCGATTCGGGTTTCCAATGCCAAATCGCAGCTTGTGCTGCTTTCAAGCAGCACTCGTGAAAAGTGGGTTCAATGATTTTTGCGGGTTTGGGAAAAATCATTTAGCCAGCTTGGGCCCAAGGACTTTGTCACTATTTCAGAAGTTCAAGTTCAGGGGCGCTTTTAGGAAGCCTTGAATAACCGGAAACTCAGATTCAGAGAGGTGCTGGAAAGCCTTCAGTTGTTTGGAAATTCAGTTTACGGAGCCATTCGAAGGCCCTCATTGGTCTCGAAACTCGCACGTAGCGAAGTACAGATTTTCTTTCATGTATATTTGAGTAAGAGTTTAGAGTTTAGGGCTTAAGCTAAACACCCTCTCGCCCAACCCAAACTAGACTTTTCAATGTATGAAACAATCAGGTTGAGGATTTTATCCAGAAAAGTACCATGTTCAACGACTTACTTCCGAGAGCACTGTGTGTTTTTTTGGTTTGTACCGAATCTGGTACTTCTGATGTGGGGGTGGGGTGGGGGGGGGTTGAGCACGAAATGATTTTTGCAGGCCCTGGCAAAAATCATTTCTGATGTTTTCCCTTCAAGGTGGTCCTTCTGAAGGGGGGGGGGGGGTCGAGCACCAAATAACCCTCAACCCTGAACCCTCAACCCTCCACCCTCGACCCTCGACCCTCAACCTTCAACCCTCAATCCTAAACTCTAAACCCTAAACCCTAAACCCTCAACCTTAAACCGGAGTCGAGGGACCCATTCAAATCGCGCGATTCGGGCTTTCCCCAAACGCGGCGATTTCAAAACGCTGCGATTCTAACATCTAAGCTCGCAACGTCGCGCGGCGGTAAGCCCACCCCAAGCCCCTGTATGTTTATTTTTAGGGTTTAGTTCCTAAAGTCTGGTTTTGTGTTTTCCAGAGGGGGCATGCTGTGCCCCT